AGTTTTTTTCATATTATAAGGTAATATTTAGGGTGGGGTTTTAAAAAAGTAATTTTTAATGTGCATATATATATATATTCCTCTCTCTACATTTTGTGAAAGCTTTAAGGCAGTTGTTGAGACTGCTGTAAATTTTGATGTTTCTGTCCCTTTTCTAGAGGAACAAGGGATGATTTAAGGGTGAGGGATTACCTGCTTAGAATTAAATCTGAGCTTAACCTATAGTCCAATCAACTAATACATGTTGATCTCCTCAGGAAAACTGCAAAGGTCAAGGGGCCATCTTGGGAATAACCAGATGATTGAAAAAACAGGGCTGCTGATTCAATAACAAATCTTAAAGGTAAAGTCAGAGATAGTAAGCTGGCTGCTTTTCCTGAACACAAAAGCACTTCATTCCGTGTGTGTCTATCAACTGCTTATCCAAGGCTAATAAAAATATTTCAGAGGAGCAAATCTTTGGCCTTTGGAACCTACTAGTTAACAACAGAAAACCTATTTCTTTGGAACTATTTCCAAAGGAAAAGATTTCATTGGAATATGTCCACTAAGATGTCCATTTCAAGCAGCAGGTATGACACTACTATAACACAGATTGAGACGGCTGTTGAATGATGGGTTACATGGACTACAAGATCATGGACTACAAGAGATAAAGAGACTCTTTCAGAGGAGACATCAAGCAAAATTCTTCAGGCTTTACAGTATTTTGAACTATTATAATCGTTGCCAATTTTATGCAATCAGCGTTGACAGAGACTTTAAATATCAGCTAGTTCAACTTACATTCAAATTAGGAAATGAGAACTATAGTAGGCCTTTGTTATTAGAAAGAAATTCTCCATAATAGAGTTTCAAACATTATTGTCAGGTTTTTATCTCTATAGAGAGGTGTAAATGTCATTAGATAATCCAGTGATCCTGTGGGTCAGGCACTGTTTCCTTAACTTATCTTGATTATATGTTTACGGTTTATAAGATATGGTTTAATATTTTTGCTCCATAAGAAGTGGATATTATGGGGCCGGCCCGGTGGCGCACTGGAGAGTGCGCCGCCTGGGAGTGTGGCGGCGCTCCCGCCGAGGGTTCGGATCCCATGTGGAGACTGGTTCCCACTCACTGGCTGAGCGCGGTGCGGGCGCAACACCGAGGGTTGCGATCCCGTTGCTGGTCCCCGGTACGGGCATGACACCGAGGGTTGCGATCCCGTTACCGGTCAGTAAAAAAGACAAAAAGGAAAAAAAAAAAAAAGAAGAAGTGGATATTATGATGGGATGCAATGTAGAATGATGGTTAAGAATGCAGTTTTGGAGTCAGGCTGAGTTAAAATCTTAGCTCCACCGGTTACGAGCAGTATAGTTCTGGGTCTGTCTTTCCTCATCTGTAACATGGAGATCGTAATAGTACCTACTTAAAGATTATGAAGATTAAATGAGACACTGTATGTACAGTGCCCAGCATGTTGCCTGGCACATAGTAAGTGCTCAATAAACATTAGTGATTATTTACTCAATTTATAGACTATGCTAAGCTTGGAATATGACATACGTTGTGTTCCCTAAGAAGCAGACTCTGAGACAAAATTTAATGTACAGGTTGTTTATTAGGGTGTGCTCTTGGTATTGACACTTGTGGAAAGGAGAAGGAAGCAGGATAAGGGTGGGGGAAGTCATGGTATAATATAGCCTCAGCCAACCCCATGGGGAAGCTCTGGAGGGCAGATGGCCCATCAGAGTTGCACTGCTGAGAAGGCCAGCCCTTTATCTCCACTCAATCAAGTCATTGGATGTGCACCTCTGTCCCTCTCCCCAGGCAAGGTCTTGCTTGGGTAAGGTGATACTCTGTAGTTGAAGCAATCCATGAAGTGAAGGCTGTCCACTGAACGCACTCCCAGCAGCTGGCACAACAAATTCCTCCTTGAAAGGGGATCTGGCTGGTACATCTGTGTTCAACATGGGGTAGTGTGTGCAGCACTTGGAAAATAGCAAATTACAGTTGCTTGAATAAAAGAAAGTGAGGGCCTTTAAGGATGAGAGTAAGACAGTGAAGATGAATAAGAATAAGCCATGGAAATATAAAAATCATGCGTGTGTGATGGAAAAGCCTTCTTGTCCTTTACAATCCCCGATTTTGGGGGTGGGTGGACTCTGGTAACTGCCAGGTCCTTCGTTTAATGAACATTGTGATAGGCTGGGGTTTGTAATGGAGGTATAAGCTGGCAGAAAGTCCAAGTACTCTGCAAAACAAATCACCTAAGAGGGTGGAAGTAAAAGCCAGTCACAGTTGATGCCACACAGGAAAAGGAGAGAGAATTGTTAATGGTAAGAATTTTGATGAACAAAAATGGCTAACATTGTAGCCCTTTGATGTACTTGGAACTTTCCAAATGCTTGCATGTATTAACTCACTTAATCCTCACAGCAACATGTAAGATAGTGTTTACATTATTTTCCCCACTTTAGAGATGAGAAAACTGAAGCATATAGAGGTTAAGTAATTTGCCAATGTCATTCAGCAGGAAAGGGGTGGAGCTGGGATTTGGACCTAGACAGACTCCAGACTGTACGGCTTGTTCTCTTAATGATACCGTCTTGCATTACAATAGGGGTGAGGATGATTCAGTTTCCCACGGAGTGTGTTGTGTGCTATGGTCAATTTTTTCTCTGTATGAAATTGCCAATGCTCTTGATGCAATTGGAATTAGAGGTGCTGAATTTTGCTGAGAGAGTTCAGAACAGAGGCTGTATGGTATGCAAGGACAGTTAACCAACTCCTGGGTTACATGCAGGCATTCAGAAAGTCAACACTGTGGTAATATGAGTTACAAACATATGATACCTGTGTACCCAAATCCGCATCGATAGGACTGTGTGATGACTGTGTCATTATACTAAAAAAAAAATTTTTTTTTTAAAAAGATGACCGGTAAGGGGATCTCAACCCTTGGCTTGGTGTTGTCAACACCACGCTCAGCCAGTGAGTGAACCGGCCATCCCTATATAGGATCCGAACCCGTGGCCTTGGTGTTATCAGCACCGCACTCTCTCGAGTGAGCCACAGGCCGGCCCCCCAATTTTTTTATTGAAATATAATTAATTGTACATATCCGTGGGGTATAGCATTGAATATCAATATCTGTGTGCAATATGTGATGCTCAAATTAGGATAATTAGTATATTCAACATTTCATTATACTGAAAAATTTTCAGACCATTCTCTCTCAACACTCGCAGCCATCTCTTATCTGGATTATAATACCCTATTTAGGCGATAGAAGATGTAAGGAAACTTGCTATTTTAAGAAAACTCAAATGCCAAATCTGTGGAAAGACCTCATGGCTTCCCCGTCTTTTCCCTTGATAGTAACCTTGCCCTTGAGGATCGTTCAGTAATAATCACTGTCTCTACCAGAGAAGTGCATTTCACTTTTACCATTTGCATTGGTCCTCTTCCTTTTTAAATTATTCATTGCACTGCTGAATCCAGGCTGAAATAAGTTATATAAAGCTTTTAGAAAGGGCTCAGGAATAACAAGAAAAAAAAAAGCCCCTAATTAGGTAGGGGCTTGACCTTTTTATTCAATAAATATTTGAGCACTCTGATTATCGCCGTGCATATACTGATGACAGTTCTCTGCTCTCAAGAGGAATATAGTAGTGGGAGTGTGCTGAAGCTGTGACAGGGGTGATATATGATAAATGAGAGCATGAAGAAGAGGTACCTAGCCACAGTGTTTATCACCTTAGTTACTTTAAAATGCTCAGGAAAGACAGGATGCTGTGCCCTCTTGATCATCTGGAAGATTCACCAGTCATTTGAGTCTTTGGAGTGACTCATTCCCTCCCCACCTTGACTGGTTTGGGTGTGGACATCAGCCAGTTTTGGACAAGAGAACTTGAGCTGACTTCGACTAGCAGCTTGTAGAGGTTTCCCTTTGTCAGGGGCATTATCTGTTGTCTCATGATGGATTTTTCCAGCCTCTGAAGTCACCCAACCCAGGAACTCCCTACCCCACACTGTTGGTTTTTATCATAATAAAGGTCTTATTGTTTAAGCTACAAAAAAATAGATAAAATTAAATTAAAAAATTTAAAAAGGTACTTAAAACAGTATTTGCAGGGAGGGAATTAGAGAAGATTACACTGAAGTTCTGCCTAAGCAGCCAAGGCCTTAAGAACAAATAAGAATTAGCAGAGCACGAGATTGGGGAAAGGGAGAGGGTAGGAAATGAGTATAACAGAAATCTAACAATGTGCAAAAGAGCACAATATGTTTAGGAAATTGCAAGTAGTTCATTATGCCTAGAGTGTAGAGTGCAAGGGGTTCCTCCCTGTTTATGCTCAGGTGATAGGATATAACTTCCCTACCACCCAGAAGGCCATAAAGAGGCCATAAAGAGACAGGCAGTCAAGGGAGTTTCCTCCTCTTCCTCATTCAGCTCAGGGCTGACTTCTTCACCCTTGGTGGTTAATGCCAATAAAATCCTCTTCCTTAGAAAAAGACTCCACCTGCTCATACCACAGAATTTTACAATAACATGAGAGAAAACAGAATAATGTTTTAGGCAGCAATTACCTTAAACATAAATGCTCTTGAGCATGCATTCTCAATGGGGGTGAAAATTGGTTTGTGGTGGGCAAAAAAATCTATTTCGTATAAAGCACAAAAATATATACACTCCATAACAGATCTACAGTATATGTGTGGTATTAAAATCTCATGGGAGGGGATGATTAGGAAAAAAAAAATCTAAAAAGGCTATTTAGAAATGTAATAAAGAAAAGCTTAAGAAATGTTGCTGTAGAGATACTTTTGCCAAGCTAGGAATACCTAAATTAACTCCATTTTAATGATAATTCAGAATAGAACATAATGGATAAAACAGTAAATCATGGCTATTCCATTTCTAACCAACGTACTTGTGAATGGATCCAATTCTTTGTTTCTTCTAACCAAAGTCATTAAAACTGTTCAAGTGTAAAGAAAACACTCAAGATTAATTAAAGAAAAAAAGGGTTTATAAATCAAGAAATTTATAACGCATACAGGGAGTACAAACCAAGAAAGTAAATTTATTTAAATTACTAAAATAGCTTTTAAAGTCATTTACAGATCACCTGCTACAATTACTTTTTTTTTTTAAAGATATATGTAACATATTAATTACTTTAAAATTATTTGGGTCAGTGAAACATTTATTAAAAACATGTTTCTCCATATAATATGTATGTATAAAATAAGACTTTTCAAAAACTCCTGTTTTATAATCCTCTATAAATCAGATGACCTTACTTCTGACAGTCAGAAACAAATTACCATACAGGGTATCAATTTACAGATACTGTAGTACTAATGGAAAGAAATTAGCCCACTCTCTACCACCAGTCGTGGGACCATCAGAGGATAAACGATGAAGCCAATGACCTACTCTAGCACTCTAAACACAATATTTTCATTTAAAGGTTTGTGGACAATAAAACAACAAGGTCGATCCAGAATTATGGTTTTAAGAAAACCAAAGCAGTTAAATGAGAAAGCTTGGTTACAGATGAAAAGTCACAGCTAAAATACTATAGTAGTATGGAAATGCATTTAACTTTTGTTCATATATGGCAAAGCTCACTTTCTTGGCTTGAGGTACTATTAATAACATTTATCATGTGCATAGTAAATCTTTATATTTGTTATGGAGTGTCATTAAAGGACAGACCACAACAAGTGGGCTCACAGAAAATTAAATCCGTCTTCAATATCCCAGGAAAGCTGGTTAACAAATGGTTTATCAATTCCTGAAACTATATTTCTTAATTCAAACAAAAGCTTCGGGATATTTCCAAAATAAACTGCTCTGAATTAACCTACCCTTAAGAGTCAAATGAGCAAATATATTAAACCTCGTGAGATACATGCTTTAAAAATCCTTGGAAGGACCAAGAATTTCTTGGAGAAAAAAAAAAAAAAGGAAATATAAAAAACAAATCTCAACAGAATTCATTGAGTTAACAGAGTTCATATACCTATGTTTGACTAATCTATCTCTCAGTGGGTTATTCTAACATTTCATCTTGAAGTTTTTTTTCTCCTTTTACCCTCCCTATTTCACAATTTCTCTTTCCTAGCCTCCTTCTCTCCACCCTCCAAAGGAAAGAAAAAATTCAAACACACACAGATGACCTTTCATTACTTCTGTTCCTGTAAGCAGAACCTGACTAAGGAACTCACACCTAAATAGTGTAAAAGGGAACATAATGGGAAAACCCATGTTTACATTTAGGGAGCTGCCTTACTAATAAACTCAATAAATTCTGTGAAAAATCCAAGTTAAAAAATCGGGAAGATTCATAAGAAAGGAGCCTAATCCCTCTCATTGGTCACCCATAGCAGTAATGACTCAGTCCAGAATTAAAATAGATCCTCTATGAGACTCCATATAATTTATGTTCTTAAGATACTCTTAACAAAGCTCTCAATGGAAACAGAAATGATTCTCTTGACAGATAATTAGGTTGAATAAATGATTTAGATGTTCCATGTTTACGAAAGAATTTAACTTCCTTTAAAAAGAAACCAATTCTTTCAAGAAGAGCTCTGAATCCTGTCTCTGGTTGGAAAGTCTGAAAAATTCTCAGAACTTCAGACATGACTTTTTCCTGCTCTCACCCCTTATAAGCAGATGCCCCTTTTCAGGGCATTCTCAGGTTGTACAGGTAGGACTAAGTGAGAAATACGGCTCCAGAGCCCATTCAATTTGTCTGGGTCCATATGATTGTAGGAGTTGGGTGTGTTAGAGTTGGTAAACTTGACTTTAAGGAAATCCCTCACTTTTTCTTCAATTTCTTTTAGGCCTAGGCTGGTTCCAAGTGTCTCTTCCTCCAATAAGACAGTCAGGACTAAGGCTACATCTTTGAAGGCTGCATTTTCATGGTCACAATATTTATAGAAGATCAAAGTAGAGCCTGCGGGCAGTGACTCGAAGCGGTGTACCACAGCTGCATTCTGGCCATTTCTGAACCCATTGCTCAGTTCCTGATCTACTTCTAGTTTGACAGTATCACTGTCTTGAGCAGCTTTGCCTGCCCCATCAATCCGGATGGCACGAACACTACGGAAGGAAGAATAGGCATCAGCAATTTGTTCACTCAGACACTTAAGTGCTTCTTCAGCGTCTCGGGCAGCAGTGAGCAGCAAGATGGCAGGCTGAGCCCGAGGACGGGAGCTATTGAGATGTTTTTCCAGGAGCGTTAGGCTCCTTTTCCACAGCTTCTCATCTTGACCTTGGTACTTATCCATAAGTTGTTTCATCTGGTTCTGGAACTCTTGAACTGCAGTGGTTTCTACCTCAGGAGTATGAGTGAACAAAACACTCCCAACGGCAAGAGCAACTATCAGAAAAAGTAGCCACCACCACCTCTTTGCCTTGACAAAAGATGCATTTTTGGGTTGTCCAGTCACTTCTGTTCAGAAAAAAAGAAATGACAGATATAAGTAACATTTTCTTAGATTCAAGGGTGAGTGACTTTTAATTAGTATTAATCTTTATAAATATTAGGCAAAAGAGGAAGGACTTTAAAGAAGGGGGCTGATAATTTTCTTTCTTAAAGAAATAAAATAATTTATAAAGTTTTCAAGAAGATCTCACAGGCTTTAAATTATGTGTATAAATACACACATATCTCTTCAACGTAAAAATGATAAAAAGTCTTTAAGGAAAAAGTAGAATTTAAACATATAAAATGGCATAAACAAGTCAGAAATAAAACCATTTATAAAGAAAAATTTATTACCACCGCTAATAGCTGGCAGATAATATTAAAAGACCCTTTATAAAATATATTTTTTAATTTAGAAACTCAGCAGTTCACACGGGTAATTACCCAAGGTGGAATATTTCTGAAGTATATAAAGGGATAAAGAAAAGGATGCAATATAAGTGAACATCTTCCATGTATCATAATAGCTAGCTGTCCCTTTAGATGCTTACCTATCTTTTTGCGGTATTCAGCTTAACACTGATAAAATTTAGTTTGCAACTCATCCCTAATTATTATTTGCAATAATGAAAATATCAGTTTACATTTACCTAGTGCTTTTCAGTTTATAAAGCACTTTCTCATATACTACTTCATTTAATCAAATAATCATATGACAGTAACAACAATCCTTTTATATGTTTTATTTACTGATTGACTTCTTTAGATAATAATTGTACTAAGGACCTTTCAGAGCAACAGTTCTCAAAGTGTGGTCTGTGGGGTGCCTCAAGACCATATTTTAGGGGAGGATCCATGAGGTTAAAGCTATTCTCATAATAATAAGATATTATTTCACTTTTCCACTGTGTTGACATTAGCACAGGTGGTGCAAAAGCAATGGTGGGAAAAACTTCTGATGCCTTGGCATGAATCACAGGGCAGTCACCAAACTGTACTAGTACAGTTATTGTACTTTTCACTGCCGTGCAGTCAAGGTTAAAAATGGGGGGGGGGGGGCAGTTTCACTTAAAAGTGTCCTTTGTGAAGCTCTTAGTACTTATTTTATTAAATCTTAATCCTTGAGTACATATCGTCTCAATATTCTGTGTGAAGAAATGGGAAGTATACATAAGGAACTTACATATAGCACAGTACAATGGCTGTCTCAAGGAAGAGAACTCTGCAACTAAACTGCAAATTGAATTAGCCCTTTTTTCACGGAATACCATTTTATTTTGAAAGAACAAATAAAAAACCATCATGGTTAATTACATTTGTGTATCTGGCAGACATTCTCTTGAAAATGAACAAAGTGAGCCTGTTACTTCTAGGAAAATTGACAATATTGGTTGCCAATTATAAACTTCAAGTTTTCAAGTGAAAATAAGGACTTGGGAAATATTTTATCTGCCACCATGAGCTTGACCGCTCCCAATACTTAAAGACGTTTTTAAACTTGTGAGATTGGCGGTGATATTAACAAATATGATCTTTTATATTGTATTACAAATGTGTCAACATTTGGAAGAGCTGCATATTTTAGTAAACCAATATTTTTCGAATGACCAGTGCATGATAGCGCAATTCAAAGTACAGTTGGCCCTGTGTATCTGTGGGTTACACATCTGCTGATTCAACCAACCACAGATCAAAAATATTCAGAAAAGAAAAATAAATAAATAAAAAGTAACAACACAACAATAAAAAATACAAATAAAAAACAATACAGTATAACAACTATTTACATAGCATTTACAATATATTATGCTAGAGATAATTTAAAGTATATGGGAGGATGTGCATAGGTTACATGCAAGTATTACACCATTTTATTTTATTTTTTTTTCCTTTTTTTTTTTTGTCTTTTTTACTGACCGGTAACGGGATCGCAACCCTCGGTGTCACGCCCATACCGGGGACCGGCAACGGGATTGCAACCCTCAGTGCTGCGCCCGCACCACGCTCAGCCAATGAGCGGGAACCGGTCGCCACATGGGATCCGAACCCTCGGTGGGAGCGCTGCCACGCTCCCAAGTGGTGCACTCTCCAGTGCGCCACCGGGCCGGCCCTACACCATTTTATATAAGGGACTTGAGCATCTTCTAATTTTGATATCTGTGGGGTCCTGGAACCAACCACCCAGGGATACTGAGGGATGACTGTATTAAAAAGACTAATGCATGGGCCGGCCCGGTGGCGCACTGCTACAGTGCGCTGCTTGGGAGTGCGGCGGCGCTCCCGCCGAGGGTTCGGATCCCACATACAGACCGGCCGCTCACTGGCTGAGCGAGGTGAGGGCGCAACGCCGAGGGTTGCGATCCCGTTGCCGGTCCTGGTCCGGTACGGGCGCAACACTGAGGGTTGCGATCCGTTGCCGGTCACGAAAAAAGACAAAAAGGAAAAAAAAAATGACTAATGCATTTTAATGTAACATAGTACGAAAAGATCATTAATGTGGTTTCAGATTTCTTATTTCAAATAACATTTAAGAAACTACCCCTTGTTGAGTTTCGGATAGCATCAAAAAAGAATATCCACAATTATCTGAAAAGGCTATTAAAATTCTTCATATCTGTATAAAACTGGATTTTCTGCAGATACTTCGATCAAAACAATACATTGTAACAGACTGAACGTGGAAGCAGATATTAGAATACAGCTCCATTTTATTAAGTCAGGCATTAAAAAGATTAGGAAAAATGCAAAGCAATTTGTCACTCTTCTTACTAAATTATTTTTAAATAATAAACTAATAAATATTTAAACAATTTCTCAACTTTAATTTCTAGGTAAATATGGATAGATATAATCCACATTTTTTTAAAAAAAGGTCTTCGGGGTACTTAATAACTTTACTAATATAAAGGTGTACTGGGACCAAAAAAATTTAAGAATCACTGTTAATTAATTTTCTTAGTACTCATTCATGAGAATAAACAGGCTTAGAGAATAAAAGAAACTTGCTCCAAAGCTATACAGGAGGTAAGTGGTCCAATCTAGTTCAAATACAGGTCTGTGGACTCCAAAACTCATGGTAATCCCATTATGTCATGCTATGTGCTCTCTTATGATTCAGCATGGTTCGCTCAGTTGACAGTATTAGTAGCTTTTCTTCTTAACTTTTAATTTTGGTCTTATGGACAATAAAGTGAAGGGGAAAACCAGATGTTATTTCATATAGTTTGCCCATAAAGAATTTTACTGGTAGTAAAATATATGCTTTTCCCTCTGAAGTGCTTAAATATGATTCTTCAAATAGACTAAGTGATACTGCTGTCAAAAACTATTTTTTAACAATTACGGACTACCAATTTTAGAGATTCACTTAATCAAAATGGAACAGACAAACTTACGTTGGCTGGAGGTTGATGGAGGAGACTGGTTTCTAACTTCTGATGTCTGAATGCTGTCATCTAATGAAAAGAGTAATAAAAAAAGACTTTCAATGTACGTTTCTAACTTTGAGTATGTATTTCTAATAGAGAAAGAAGATACAAATTCCACCAAGAGAAAAGAAGGCGGAGATCAACCAGAAGCAGAAGAAAATGCAGAATATTAGAATGCCCATTAGACTGAAAGCTCCTTGAGAAACAATACCTATAGTTATTCACAGCATGTAGTGGTCTAGTACAAAGCACACACTCAACACTTAGTTTTGAGAGAAAGCCTTGAAGTATTTGACCCATAATTATTTAATAAGATTGTTGAAACTTCTGGAATAAAGGTAAGAGAACAAAGAAAATAAGCACACCACAATAAAAGGAAACATATTATACCATCTGAAAAACTGCCATATATTGAACTCTTGCCTGGTGAAGATGCTGTAAAAAGGGGGAAAAAGACAAAATGTGGATTATGGATTACTGAATTATCTGGATAAGGTGTTTCAATATAAAAGTCAATCCTAATCCTCACTATTTGCTACCCCAAACTTATTAAAACATTTTCTCTGGGTCTTCTGATCATTTTTTCAAATATTATTTTTAAAATAATATTTTAAAACTTTTTATCATTTCTGTTAGTAGACAAGTAATTCTGTTTTAGGTCTGTGGTTGAACAATAAAGCTCAATAATAATTTTCTCCCAACTCCATCGAAGCTCTGCTTCCATCATTACTTTAGAAAATAAATCAAAAACTATCCTAACCTTTCCCCTTTCCCTCCATCTTTCTTAGCATGGCAGCAGGTTTTAACATTTAAGAGGAAACGGAGGGACAGGGTTCAGAGGGTGGAGAGGCTGAGTCCTCTTATTCGTATGACCTACATTTACCAGAACTGCCATCTATAACTTGCCTGGAATTTTATAACTTTTATATATATAAATGATCTTCCTAGTGGATCTTCCTTATGTTTCTCAACAGCTTTCATTTGAGAAACACTGGACTAAACCGGAGGAATAAAATTAGCACTGCTAAGATACATAAATAGCCTCATTTTTGGTCATATGACCAAAAAACCCAAATAAAATGACATCAGTCCTAACTCTCAGAGGCACATTGTTTTTCAATTACTAATTCAGCTTAGGAAACTTCATTATTTAGAAGTTTCTAAATTAGGTTATCAAATTTACAACTGTATTACTTAAAACAACAACAACAAAAAATAGCTAAAACAAAAAATCCCTAAACCCAGCAGATAATGGTTATCTTGAATAACTCAGTCCATGATTGCAAAGATCAAATGAGGTAATGTACAGGCATATCTCATTTTATTGCACATTGCTTTACTGTGCTTCACAGATATTGTGGTTTTTACAAATTAAAGGTTTGGGGTAACCCTGCCTGGAGCAAGTCTACTGGTGCACTTTTTCCAACAGCATGTGATCACTTTGTGTCTGGTTCACATTTTGGTAATTCTCATGATATTTCAAACTTTTTCATTATTATTATTATATCTGTTATGATGATCTGTGATCAGTAATCTTTGATGTTACTATTGTAATTGTTTTAGAGTTCCACCAACTGGCTGTTCCCCCATCTGTCTTCCTCTCCTAGGGTCCCTGAGACACAACAATATTGAAATTAGGCCAATTAATGACCCTACCATGGCCTCTAAGTGTTCAAGTGAAAGAAGCAGTCGCACGTTTCTCACTTTAAATCAAAAGCTAGAAATGATTAAGCTTGGTGAAGAAGGCATGTCAAAAGCTGAGACAGGCTGAAAGCTTATCTTCTTGTGCCAAACAGCTAAGTTGTGAATACAAAGGAAAAGTTCTTGAAGAAAATTAAAAGTGCTACTCCAGTGAACACAGGAATAAGAAAGTGAAACAACCTTATTGTTGACAGGGAGAGTTGTAGTGGTCTAGAGAGAATATTAAACCAGCCAAAACATTCCCTAAGCCAAAGCCTAATCCAGAGCAAGGTCCTAACTCTTTAATTTTAGAAAGACTGAGGGAGGTGAGGAAGCTGCAGAAGAAGTCTGAAGCTAGCAGAGGTTGATTCATGAGGTTTTAAGGAAAAAAGCCATCTCCATAACATAAAGGTGCAAGATGAAGCAGCAAGGGCTGATGTGGAAGCTGCAGCAAGTTATGCAAAAGATCTAGCTAAGACAATTGATAAATGTGGCCACACTAACAACAGATTTGCAATGTAGATGCAGTAACTTTATATTGGAAGAAGATGCTATCTAGAACTTTCATAGCTAGAGAGGAGAGGTCAATCCCTGGCTTCAGAGCTTCAAAGGACAGGCTGACTCTTTTGGTAGGTGTTAATGCAGCTGGTGACTTTAACTTGAAAGTCAATGCTCATTTGCCATTCTGAAAATCGTAGGGCCCTTAAGAATTATGCTAAATCTATTTTGCCTGTCCTCTATAAATGGAATAAAGCCTAGAAGACAGCATATCTGTTTACAGCATGGTTTACTAAATATTTTAAGCCCACTGTTGAGACTTACTGCTCAGAAAAAAGATTCCTTTCCGAATATTACTATTCAGGGGCAACCCAAGAGCTCTGATGGAGATGTACAAGATTAATGGTGTTTTCATGCTTGCTAACACAATACCCATTCTACAGCCCACGGATCAAGGAGTAATTTCAACTTTCAAGACTCATGTAAAAAATACATTTCATAAGGCTACAGCTGACATAGACAGTGATTCCTTTGATGGACCTGGGCAAAGTAAATTAAAAAACTTCTGGAAGGGATTCACCATTCTAGATTCCATTAAGAACATTCGTGATTCATGGAAGGAGGTCAAAATATCAACATTAAGGGGCCGGCCCGGTGGCGCACTGCGCTAGTGCGCCGCTTGGGAAGTGCGGTGGTGCTCCCGCCGAGGGTTCGGATCCCACATACAGACCGGTTCCCGCTCACTGGCTGAGCGAGGCGCGGGGGCAACACCAAGGGTTGCGATCCCGTTGCCGGTCCCGATCTGGTACGGGGGCGACACTGAGGGTTGCGATCCGTTGCCGGACACGGAAAAAGACAAAAAAGAAAAAGAAAAGAAAACAGACACAGACAGAGGGAAAGCTATGTGAAGACACAGGAAAAAGATAGCCATCTACAAGTCATGGAGAGAGCCCTCCAAAATAACCAACTTTGCTAACACCTTCATCTAAGACTTCTAGCCTCTAAAATAGGAAATAAATTTCTGTTAAGTTACCCAGTCTGTGGTATTTGTTTTGGCAGCCTTAGCAAACTAATATAAATACAATATAAAGCACTTAGGAAGTGCTACATAACTGCATGTTCTCGTTCCTGTTTTCGTATCTCCACGTGTTCAGTGCTCTATGTACATTTAGTGCATGGTCTCAACCAAAGCTAGCACGAACATAAAATCTGTTCATTGTGCTTCTTGCATTCAAATTTAGAAAAAAAAAAAAAAAAAAAAAAAAAAAAAAAAAAAAAATCAACATTAACAGGCGTTTGGAAGAAGTTCATTCCAACCCTTATGAATGACTTTGGGAGGTTCAAGACTTCAGTGGAAGAAGTAACTGCAGGTGTGATGGAAACAACAAGAGAATTAGAATTAGAAGTGGAGCTTTAAGATGTGACTGAATTACTGCAATCTCATAAAATTTAATAGATAAGAAGTTTCTTCTTATGAATGAGCAAAGAAAGTAGTTTCTTGATATTGAATCTGCTCCTGGTGAAGATGCTGTGAGCCCCGTTGAAATAACAACAAAGGATTTAGAATATTACACAAACTTAGGTGATAAGGCAACGGCAGGATTTAAGAGGACGAACCCTAATTTTTTAAAGAAGTTCAAACAGCATCACATGCTACAGAGAAATCTTTCATGAAAGAAACAGTCAATTGATGCAGCAAACTTTACTGTTGTCTTATTTTATGAAATTACCACAGCCAACCCAACCTTTAGCAACCACCATGCTGATCATTCAGCAGCCATCAACACTGAGGAAAGACCGTCCACCAGCAAAAGATTATAATTTGCTGAAGGCTCAGATGATCCTTACTAGTTTTTGGCAATAAAGTATTTTTTAACTAAGGTATGTACATTGTTTTTTTTATCCCCCAGACATAATGCTATTGCACACATCACAGACTACAGTATAGTGTAAACATAACTTTTATATGCACTTGGAAACCAAAAATTTGTGACTCACTTTATTGTGGTGGTCTAGAACTGAATCCACAATATCACTGAGATATGCTTGTATATGAAAATGCTATGAAGTGCTATTCTATGATGTTAACGATGAATTATGTGTCACACATAATACTAATGTAATTCACAGAACTCAAACACATACTTAGCAGAGTATACACTGCTCAGGCATGGCATTGTCTAAAAGTTAATCTCTATCCCTCTTAACAAAATTTCTGAAAAAATTCTGAAAAAAAACTTCTTAAAAAAGAAAGCTCAAGCTTTTCCAGTCTGAAGAGTAATATAACAATCAATCACTCTATAAAAGTAAAGAGTGTAGGGCATAAATCTTCCATAGTTATTATTGTACAAAATACTGTTAACAATAAACATTAAAACTATGTGATAGCTAGACTTTAAAAAATTGTGTCTACATATATAAGATCACCACAAATAACCTGTTTATAGGCACTTATGTCTCTAAAGGTAAGAACATTGAGGTTCACAAGGTTAGTGACTACCAAGATTACTCAATTAGTAATTGGAGAAGCTAGGACAGTAACCCAAGCGCTCTAACTCCAAACTCTGTCTTCTTTTTTCTACACCAATGTTAGAGGCAGGTTCCAAAGCATGTATACAAGGGTAAGTTCAAAAAGTTTGTGGAAAAATAGAACTGAAAGATGTATTAGCCTGTTTATGCTGCTTATAATAGAATACCTGAAACTGGGTAATTTATAAGAAAATGAAGTTTATTTCTTACAGTTCAGAGGCTCGGAAGACCACAGTCCGGGGGTCACATCTGGAGAGGGCCTTCTTGGTGATGGCTCTAAAGAAATCCAGGGTATCACATGGTGAATGGGCTGCGCAAGATAGTTAACCTCTTCTCTTGTTCTCCTTTTAAGACCATCAGAACCACATTACCACCCATTAAACCATCAATGGATTAATCCATTCAAGAGGGTATAGTCCTTACCTCTTAAAGGCCCCACCTTACATTACCATAATAGGACTTCCCACTCTCTTAACACTGTTACAGTGGGGATTAAGCTTCCAATACATGAACACTTGGGGGACACATTTAGCCCACAGTGAAAGATAATACAAATCTTTCCATGAATTTTTTTTTTTTTTTCTTAAAGATGACCGGTAAGGGGATCTCAACCCTTGGCCTGGTGTTGTCAGCACCACGCTCAGCCAGTGAGCAAACCGGCCATCCCTATATAGGATCCGAACCTGCGGCCTTGGTGTTATCAGCACCGCACTCTACCGAGTGAGCCACGGGCCGGCCCTTTTCCATGAATTTTTTGAAGACCTCTCGTATTAATGGTCTGACCTCTCCATAGACATATTCTTCCCTATGCTGTTTTATCACCTGACAAACAGGAAAACGTAAAAATTGTAGTGCCATCTTCCCTAGAAGGTTATGATGCAGGGGGAAACCTGAACTGGGACCCATCTACCCAGGGAACTGGTGCTAACATGGGGTGACAAGAAGGATCTGAAGTCCCAGGTTCTTGAAATTTAAGAATGACATGTTTTTCTCACCAAAGCAGACAAAAATGTATACTTAAGAGAATGAGATAAATTTGAAATACTAAGAAAAACATTTAAAAAATGATCTTGAGGAGAAATCTATTATAAGGCTATTTGAAAATCACTGTAGTCTTCTACTTCCCGTGAAAATATTTTCTTTCTGGTTTCTGGTTACTGTTTTATCATAAAGTCTTCATGTGGTTAAAGGTCTAAAAAATTATGTTACATGCACATTTCTGGTATGTTACTTCATAAATCTCAAAGGTCGATACAGCACCTATATATGGTAGATGGCTATCTACCAATGTACAACTATATATGCCATAATAAATATTCTAATTTAAGAAAAAGTAGAAATGCAAACAGACAAAATACTAAAAATTGGCTATCAGTTTAGCAGCTAAAAAGATCTACTTCTAAATTTTAATCAAATATTCAATATAATTATTTTTTCTTCTGAATTGCAGTGCCTAATTGGATTCCTCCAATTATATTATATTATATATAAATTATATATATTATATATATAATATAACATATATTATATATAAAAATTATGTAAACATTTTCTGATAATGTGTACTACCTTCACTTACCTGGAAGTCATTTATCTGGTATTAATTACCTTGAATATATAGTTAGGAACTAAGAAATAACATAAGAAGCCTCTAAACTTTTCATAGTATACATAGTGAAACTCACGCATTTTTACTTCTAAGAGTATGTCCTAGGTCTCCAAATTTAATTTTAATTTTTGATTCTGTTATAAACATAATTTTAATAAGCTGAACAATTAATATTTGGTTTTCTAACTACAATAGGTCAGGAAGACCAAATTGCAAGAGGAAATAATTTCTAATAGCAGGCACACACTGTGATAAGAAATGACAGCCAACAATAAGGCAAGGGTAAAAAGCTACTTCAGCTGTAGACAGCTGAAGAACTCATATGTGGGTAAAAATTTCACTACTGAGAAAAAATAAATTGTGACTATTATTACTTTACTGATGATAAAACAAAGCCAGAGAGGTTATCTCGTCCAATTACAGAGTTAATCATTTCATGAGCAAGAGATACATGATGGGGATTTTTATATTATTTGAATAAAAGTAAGGGGATACCTAATGACTTCAAGACTTATTGTGGTAAAGTGACTAAAGAAGGGATAGAGGTTAAAGGTCACTTAAGGCAGAGACTATGCACTATGCATGAAATTTTTTTATACACTCAAGGTTTAATGAGGACACATTTCTACAAAAATTATGATAGGCACTGAGTTCAAAGTATGATTGTTTCATCACATCATTTTATTGTATTTCTTAAATTCTATGACATTTAATCCATCCTAAATCTAAACATGAAAATACAATTTGTAAATGTCAGCCTTTATTAACTAAAATAATGGGTATGCAAAGCTGCTCCAAGTGGTTATTTATACAAACAAAGCCTGCTAAAAGCAAAATACAGGTATTGTCAAGAGCAGAACTGCATTATCATATCCAGATTGTACTGCTGCTAGAACTGAAAACTTGTCAAGTCTTAGACTCATCATCCACTGGTTTTCTCACACCACTGTCTACATTCTATAATACCCAGTCCATCTGCTGTCAGTCCAAGCAAACGAAAACTACTAAACTAGTAATCATAGCTGCACTTTATTAGTGAAATCACAAACAACCTAAATGCTTATATGAAGAACTAAATATTTTTGTATATTTGATAATCAAGAAAAACATAGCAAATAAAATTATTCCAGTAACATAGATATAACTACTTACTTTGCATCCTAGTCCGTATTCCTGTGGTTTGTTCCATCCATTCCTGAGAGTTTTTTTTATATCTCAAGCCTGAAGCAAATACATATATGAAAATACCATTTCACATACTTTGAAAGCTTATACCACATTCAAATATTATAAGATAAATCTATCAGAAAGGCAAAATAAAGAGGGGAGTAAACTGGTGAAAGCAATAGTTTCAGAAGTAAAAGATAATTTCAAAGGATATCAGTGAGGATTATCCACTTTCCACAGCAAAACAGGTAGCAAATAACTATGCAAGAATTATCACCTAAAAGACAAAACTATGTACAAGTCTTTGGTCTGTGAGAATGACTGAGTTTCAAAAACGCTTCATTAGATTTCAATGTTATTTAAGAACAAAAGTTAACCATTTACTCTTGCAAGTAAATTACTTATGGTAAAATAGCCTTGAACACATTTCTACCTCACAAAATAATTATCACATGTAATACCAATGTGTGGTGGATTAAGAAAGCAATGAGGGTAAAATGACTTAAAATCCTATTAGAGCTTTTTGTTGGCAAAAAAAGGCAGGGTTAGATTTGATTGACTGAAAAAAGAGCAGACAACCAACTACTTTCGCAGCACTAAACTTGGCTCACCATGAGTTGTGAAGTCTTGACCTGAAACAGAAAACAGGAATAAGGTCATAGAATCCTTGAGAAAAAAAAATAAAAAAGATACTGTATAGACATTTTTCTTGTTTACTATGGATACTGTAAACCAAAAAAACCCCCCAAAACCCAACAAAAAAATCCAAAACTTTCTCTTGTAAGTCCCAAACATATATGATATATATATATATATATATTTTTTACATTTCTAAACTTCAAAATGTTCAGGAATTGAACAACAGAAGTCAGCTTTAGGATCACTACCATCAAAATAATGGTTAAATGTGATGTTTACCAGATGTCAAGAATAATTTCACTTAACTCTCACATCTTATGTGGTAGAAACTATTAATATCCTTATTTTGCAAATAAGGGAAAACTGAAATTAATAATTTCCCCAAGATTACATATCTAAAAGTAGTGAGGCTGAGATACAAATCCAGGCAGTCTATACTATATACCATATAATATAGAAAGGTATGTACTACATGTGAAAATTTGTGGATACTGCAAAGTAGCTATGAAATAAAAGATGATACTTCAACTTTTAAGATGATATTTAAGGACAACTGTAAAATGATGCAATGGGAAAATTAGAAAATGACATTACAATGATAATGAGGTAAATTTTCAAATCTGACCTACAGAAACTAGCTACTTCTAACCCACTGATGATACATACAAGTATCAATGTAGATTTATTTTCAACTTTACTTTTTCTGAATACAATGCAAAATATGCTAGCTGTAAAAAAAAAACAGTGTCATACTAGAAATGTGTGACTTAACAAATCATGAATATCTAGTAAGTATCTACTATGTGCAAAACATTGAGTGCAGGAATACCATGGTAAATAAGACAGATATTCTTCCAGGTTTGTTTCTAGTCTACACTAATAAAATACTTTTTAAAAAAGTAGACACATGCTTTTTAATATTTTCTTTGATCAAATTCTAAGAAGTACTTTATAAATCAATGGCACCTTAGATTCACTGCAATGTATCTTGATCACCATTCATTAGTATAAAAAGAACTCATTTTTCATATCTGAACAGTATTTTTTTTTTTTTTTTAAAGATGACCGGTAAGGGGATCTTAACCCTTGACGTGGTGTTGTCAGCACCACTCTCTCCCAAGTGAGCTAACCGGCCATCCCTATACAGGGATCCAAACCCGTGGCCTTGGTGTTATCAGCACCACACTCTCCCAAGTGAGCCACGAGCAGGCCCTTGAATAGTATTTCATTGCATGGGTACAGTATCATTTATACAGGTAGACACATTTCAGAGTTTCCAGAGATCAAAGATGTAAAATAGGGCAAACATATAAGATAATTCAAAGAGTAATTTTTCACAAGTGATTTTTTTGTTTCAACAGTTTATTTATTTTATGTCTCAGTTTATAGTCACTAACCCAGAAAATACTAAAAACCAAAATTAAAAAATACAAAAAATGGAATTCTGTGAACACAGTAATTATAAAACAGATTTCCAAAGGCTTTTTCTTGGGTGATGTAGAACGAAAAGAAAGTTCTTGAAGATTTCATACAAAGATATTATCAGTTGATGAATAATTAACTCAAATTCTGAGACTTGATTCGAAAATGGAAAAAGAAAAAAATAGTATTATTTTGCTTAACCTAAGAAATACATATGCATTGTTGATAACCTTCAATTCAAAAAATAATAAAAATGTCACTAATGATTCTATTACACTGAACAAATCATTGTTAGCATGTTAATTTATTACTTTCCAACATTTTTTGTTATATTTTCTAAACACTAGATCATGAAAATTTTCAAAATTGTAAGCAATGTTATAAGACTTTTATAATGAACACTTGTGTACCCCATCACCTAGTTTACCATTAACTTTTTACTATATGTGCTTTATCACTTATCTATTCCTCCAAACATTTGCAACAGAGTTGAAATCATACTACACAAAAAATTTTACACCCTTATTAGAGTATGTCCATAGAAGTAGGCTCAAACTACTACATTAAACTGAAAACAATCAACACAATATTGCAAGCAAGAACATTCAACAAATCACAGAAAGCAATAGTTTTTTATTTTGTTTTATAAATTTAAATTCATTTTGGGTACAGAGAATAATAATTCAACAAGTGAATTTAAGACAGAGGGAGATATCCGATGAGCTTTTTTTTTTTTTTTAGCATTCACTACACCTCTTTTTCAACATGTACATTAAATTGCAAGAGGATCTTCAAAAATAAGGACAGCATTTAACCATGCACACAGGTAGACCTGTAAACATGGCTTTACTTACTTTGTGATGACTGCCAAAGTGATTCTGTGTATTGACTAGATGATCTGTTGGTTTGATCTAAAAAAAAAAAAAAAAACAAAAAAAACCCAGTCCACTATAAATAACATTTAACTTTTTAAACATACATTTTAGAAGAGAACAAGCATTTAACCCAAAGAGCAAAAATATTCAGATAAACCCCAAGGGAATTCAACCCGTGGATGCATAACATATAGTTTCTAAAGAGTCATGTCATATCTAAAAAATTAGCTAATTATGTCTTTTCCCTAACCACTTTTTTTTTTTTTTTAAAGATGACCGGTAAGGGGATCTCCACCCTTGGCTTGGTGTTGTCAGCACCATGCTCAGCCAGTGAGCTAACCTGCCATCCCTACATAGGATCTGAACCCGTGGTCGTGGTGTTATCAGCACCACACTCTCCCGAGTGAGCCATGGGCCGGCCCCCTAACCACTTTTTAAAGAAAAAAATGTAATATGGCATGAGGTAAGGAGATAATGAAACCTTTAAGTTGGAGAAAATTTTGAAAGCTTACAACAATGGATTTTTTAGAAATCATTAATATTCATTTCTGCCTTAAATTTTTCTTGCAAGTGGGCAATATATTATGTATTTTAGTTTACTCTTCTTAAAAACATTTTTTTCATATGAAAGTGGAATTTATAACTAAATTTGTTTAAAAGTGATCTAATTGCTATTTTGGAAACAGAAGATTTTGACAAATAAAAGTATAGTGGCTAAATATTTTTGATAGTGTACTCCTATTGCTAAAAAAAATTTTCAGCATCAATCCCTGAAACATTTTTCTAACATTATATACACGTAGTACTGAAATAGTACATTAACTATGTGTTATGTATATTGTAAAACAAACAAAAATAGACATATCAAATGAATGACATAAAAAATAAAAATACACTCTAATATTTTCTTTCTGCATTCCAATTGTTCTTGTACCTCTTTGGTGATGATTGGCCCAGAAGATAACCTAGGAAGACCAGTATTCTCCTTAATATTCCTCAAAATTTTGTTCTTTAGAGTCATCTTCTACATGTGGGTATGTATGCTTTAATAAAGTCATAAGAACTTAGAATTCTAAAGGGATAAAGGACCTGGACTTTATGTAGTTCCAAATAGCTATATGCTGGTAGCAATAGCAGCAAATTATTGGCTATATTAATGGCTTAGTCTCTAATTTTTAGAGCTTTATATGTGAAAACTAATAATAGCATTAATTTGAGTGTTTACTATTTGCTAGGTACGTTGCATATATGAATTAATTTAATCCTTACAACAATCCAGATGAGAAGACTGAGGAATGCAAAAGTTAAGTAACTCTCTGAGGGTATGCAACTATTAAAATTGTTATATATCAACTTTAAGGATGTCTGCATCAAGAAAGAATGGGGAAAAATGAGGAAAGGTGGGAAATATATAGAATACCAAATGTCCATAAATCATCTTACGGGCTTATTTTAAAAGTGGAATGATGAAATAAAGAAAAGGAATTACAGAAATTCTCAGGAGATGGTGAGGGGAAAGTGGAGAATTACTTTTTTTGTGGGACTAAAATATAAAATTACTTGTCATTTATGAAGTTTACAAATTCAGTCAGTACCCCCTTAAGCCTCAAATTATTGGTATTTTTCCCTCTTCAGTCAACTCTTTCATTGAATAAACTTAAAGATAAATTCATATGAATAATCAGAAACTATTATTAAAAATAAAAAAAGATTTAAAAAAAGAAAAAAAACAAGAAAAAAAAGAAAAAAAAGAAACAGAAACTATTATTGCTAACTTGGTTTGAATTTGAACAATACAGAGACAAAAGCAGGTATCTAAGTATATTAAAACTTCCTTTAAAAGCAAAAAACAAAAAAACAAACAAAAAATTTCCTAAAGCTAAGTAACACTCCTGATAGTGTGGTAAGTACCAATGCCAATGTGATCAGTTTCTCTACAAAATTCAAAAACAACAAAGAACTCTTCTTCTGAGCACAAAAATATCTTATTTTCCATGAATGCCAAAGCAAAGCTAAAAGTGATTTATTTGTTTAGATTATTACATGATATTACATTACTAATCAGATGTATACATGGAATCAACTTTAATAAACATTAAGTATATAACTTTACAAAAATATTTTTTAAAAAAGCAAATTCACAAAATACCTTAATATTTTAACTACAAAGATAGCTCCTATGAGAAGTCATATGTATATAAAGGAATTTACCTCCAGACTCAACAGAATCCCCAGACCTGACCTTAACAGTAGTGAAATCACTGTCAGAGCTGTCTTGATCATCTTCTTCAGTTTCTCCTAAAGAGAAGCAAACAATATAGTAGTATAGCCTTCATTCTAATGCTCAAAAGATCTGGACAAAAACAAAGTAATTTAACATTAAAAAGGCGGCTTTTTAATTACCACATATAGAATCGCTGTTTATTTATTATGCTTACTACTTTGAATCACAAAGTTCTAAGTGAGCTAAAATTGAGCTCATTTATTTAGTGTTCTCTGAGGCACATAATTATTTCCTAAACAAATATTCGGAGTAATATCTAAAAGACTATTCTGAGGCTTTAATGTAGAGTCAAAAACAAACACAGTAAATAGTGGAAAAATTTTACTTTGGGGGGGGGGAACTACAAGTAATTAATGTGCAATTAAATTCAGAAAAGATTAGTGTATACATGTGTATTTGTAAGAGTGTGTTGGGGGAGGTAGGTAGAGTATACACACACCCACATACAAACATTTCAGTAAGCAGTTGACTAATCTCCGACTATGCTGGACTTAAAAATGGACTAAATTTTATTCTGTACTTTTCAAACAGACTAGTTAATAAGAATTTGGAAGAGTGATTATTTTAATACCATAATCAAAAGCCAGCACATGCCAGAAACAGAAAATATTAGCTTTGCTTAAAATTAACTCAAATAGACAAAAGATGCTTAAAATGTACATAAAGGCTATCATCACTCATTTGTCCTATTTTACCTGCCCACTTAAGAGTTCAGATAAGTATGAATTTTTTTTCTGAAGAACACTATAGTCTGCCATCACTTCTTACATACCTACCAAAATAGGTACTTTTTCTAATGTAAAGAAGATTTAGAATATATTGTATAATATTTAGAAAGAAAATACCTTCTTCAGAGAAACTGAACTTCTGTTGGACACTGGTGGTTTCTAGAAGAGAAAAGCATGTACGTTGTATACAACACCAAAAGCTAAAGCTTAGGAATAAATAAGAGGATCTAATTTAGGAAAATGAACATAGAGACACAGCAAATAAACTTTTTTTCTGGTAAATCACCAAGAATCTATTATTTCCTCTCAGACTACTTCAGAAATAAGTCTGACACTAACTAGAATCAAAAATAAAGTGTTTATTTTTCCTTTAGTCACAGGTCTATTTGTACTGTATTGTAAAATGTAACCTGTGTGTGCAGAAAACATTAAGTTCTACATTGTCAAACATTCCGGTCCCTATTGGTTTACTATATGAGGTTTACTATATTCTCATTCTCCTATTTTCCAGATTCCCTACACTGCCTTGAAATGCCTACTGGACCAGCTGAACTGAAGAACTAGTTCTTTAGTGCTTCGGTGTATGCAAAGAGGAGAAAGGTAATAAAACCCTCTTCCTAGTTCTAACAGATCCACGTACATTGCTGTTTCTCAGAGTAACAGAGAATTCGAACAAAGATAATGAGTAAAACATATCAAACTTTAAAATGCAGTATTTTTATATGGGTTATTTCAAAACTTTTTTAAATAAAGGGAGATGGACCAAAATGCAGACATTGCACAACTGGCTAAAATATTGGTTAATGATCATATCTAGAGAAATTGCATGATTCAGGCTTCTTCGAAAAGCTGAGAAAATTTGTCTCTTTTCAGCTTTTTCTTTTTCTTTTTGGCTGCTGGCCAGTATGGGGATCTGAACCACTGACCTTGGTATTACCAGCACCACGCTCTCCCAAGTGAGCTAACCGGCCAGCCCTCTTTTCAGCTTTTATCTCTATGGAGTTCAACTTCTATTTGCTTTTTAAAAGGGAAAACAAGATTATGGAAAACAACTGCCAACACACTATATGGTGAATTTGGAAATATTTTTCTCAAATCAGTTTAATTACATTGGTATAATACTAGTCAAACTTTGAGTTCCACTGAAAATACTTCTCCTTGACAGCGGCAAGTGCAAATCAGTAACTGAAATATATTTGCCAACATTTTTACTAGAAAAAAAAACTAACCCTAAGAAAACTGTTGATAATACCACGCTACCCTTAAAAAGCTAGAATCTGGTATACTAATATGCTCTTTTAATCTAGGCTCCTTAGGGAGATTGTCCTTTCATTTTCTCTTTTTTGGAGGAGAGAAATAGAAAGTCACACTTGTCTTGATGCTGTTCCCTTAAAAATTTGTTACCCATTTTTTTTTTTTCTGGCAGCTGGCTAGTATGGGGATCTGAACCTGTGACCTTGGTGTTACAAGGCTGTGCTCTGACCAACTGAGCTAACCAGCCAGCCCTCCAAATTTTTGTATTAATATTTCCATTCCTACAAAAAGGTATTGCTCCCTTTTTGAAGTTTTATTTTCTAAGTGCATAACTATTACAGTACTTCATTTTTTTTTTTTTTTTTTTTTTTTTTTTTTTTTTTTTTTTTTTTTTTTTTCCGTGTCCGGCAACGGATCGCAACCCTCAGTGTTGCCCCCGTACCGGACCGGGGACCGGCAACGGGATCGCAAGCCTCGGTGTTGCTCCCGCGCCTCGCTCAGCCAGTGAGCGGGAACCGGTCTGTATGTGGGATCCGAACCCTCGGACGGGAGCGCCGCCGCGCTTCCCAAGCGGTGCACTATCCAGTGCGCCACCGGGCCGGCCCACAGTACTTCATTTTTTGTACAGCAGTTTCACTTTATTCTTTCATATAACTATTCACTTAGCATGCAAACGAAAGATGTTTCTTATGAATCAATGCTCATATATTAGTTATTACATTAATAATATTGTCATTAATATCTGCATGGTGCTATTTAGTTTTCCAAAAAACCTTCATGTCTGTTACCTGATTCCCATATCATAAGGGAATACTTTCACAAGTAAGGCTCATAGGTACTAAGTGACTTGTCTAAAGCTGTAGGACTAACATAATAAAAAGGACTTGAATACAGGCTCCTCTGACTTCCAGACTACTACCCTTCTACCACCACATCAGTCTTGTTCATAACAGCACATTGTAATGTACCACCATATCAGTCTTGTTCATAACAGCGCATAGTAAGCACTCAATCATTTTCTGAATAAATGAACGAATGATGAAGAAAAGGCTTAGAGCTGAACTGTTCCTAAAATGAGAGGTTCCAACGACTCCTAAGTGTTTAAGTCACATAATACAGTAGGGTTTACTAAAGTTACATTAGGGCATCAGGTTTTACATAGTTGACTCTAAAAATTATTTGGTATAGCAAAACTTCTTTAGCTATGGCTGAATTGACTTTAGAATCTATAATAATATAAAGAAATCTACAATAGTAGAAAAATTGATTTTAGGGCCGGCCCGGTGGCGCACTGGATAGTGTGCTGCTTGGGAAGCGCGGCAGCACTCCCGCCCGAGGGTTCGGATCCCACATACAGACCGGTTCCCGCTCACTGGCTGAGCGAGGCGCGGGAGCAACACCGAGGGTTGCGATCCTGTTGCCGGTCCCGGTCCGGTACAGGGGCAACACTGTGGGTTGCGATCCGCTGCCGGACACGGAAAAAGACAAAAAAAAAAAGAAAAATTGATTTTAGAATCTATAATATGTTCAAGATTTACATTGATTTATTGAGTTAGAAAACATGAATAGTATAATAATCCCTTTTATTCTAATATATTTTATATTTCCATATACATTTGAAACTTTGAATTTGTCTAGAGCCAATTCACCTAATAATCAATCCTCCATATACCAGCCTGCCTACAACTCTATCTCCTTTCTTCTATTTATCTTTGTGTTGTCTAATTAGCATGGGGTGGTGGTGTTAAGAATTATTTTTTAGCCAGCTTACATTAGGGGGGTTTTCCCATTTATTTTTAATACTTCTAATGTGTCATCATATTTTTTTTTTCCTTTTTGTCTTTTTTACCGACCGGTAACGGGATCGCAACCCTTTTTTTTTTTCCTTTTTGTCTTTTTTACCGACCGGTAACGGGATCGCAACCCTCGGTGTCGCGCCCGTACCGGGCACCGGCAACGGGATCGCAACCTCGGTGTTGCGCCCACACCGCGCTCAGCCAGTGAGCGGGAACCGGTCTCCACATGGGATCCGAACCCTCGGCAGGAGCGCCACCGCGCTCCCAAGCAGCGCACTCTCCAGTGTGCCACCGGGCCAGCCCTGTCATCATAATTTAAGTATTTAATTAAAAATAGATAAAATCCATGACTTAACACTTTAAAGACTTTTTATCTATCTAAAGACCCCATCTTTAGAATTTTATGTTTGTAACAATAAATATTTATAAACAGTATATATATATATATATACTTTTTTTTTTTTTTTAAAGATGACCGGTAAGGGGATCTTAACCCTTGACTTGGTGTTGTCAGCACCACGCTCTCCCAAGTGAGCTAACTGGCCATCCCTATGTAGGAATCTGAACCTGTGGCCTTGGTGTTATCAGCACCACACTCTCCCAAGTGAGCCACAGGCCGGCCCTTATAAACAGTATTTGAGAGATGAACAGTAACTTGTTATACAACGCTATCTTGATTCCATCACTAAAACCAAAAAAACATTATTATTTTGTTTCATAATTCAATAATATCTATGAATTAGACATCTTAATAATAAATCCTATAGATCTGACAAATAATCATCACTGAATCAGGCTATCCACTGTTTTGGCTACATGCACATTTTAAAATATGGTTTTCAGGCCGGCCCGTGGCTCACTCGGGAGAGTGTGGTGCTGATAACACCAAGGCCACGGGTTCGGATCCTATATAGGGATGGCCAGTTGGCTCACTAGCTGAGCATGGTGCTGACAACACCAAGCCAAGGGTTGAGATCCCCTTACCAGTCATCTTTTAAAAAAAAAAATTAAAAAAATAAAATAAAATAAAATATGGTTTTCATTGTAGTAAATGAAGTTCAAGAAACCCAAGCCTACTATGATTAAGAATATCATTCTAAAAATTATTTAACATAAGATGTCTCAGATAAAGAGTCACAGCTAATATGAGAGTGTTGTCTCTAATATAAGGTTTAATTTCTCATACCACATGATCTCTAAAAGTACAAGAATGTCCATTACAAGACAAACTGTAGTATTTGCAAATCTCCTTCCTCACTTTGCCTGGTATTCATCCTTCGAAATTCAATTCAAATGTCATCTCTAACACATAAAGCCTCCTGACAATCTCCCACTGAGTAGTGTGCCTCTCTAGGCTCCCATACACAAATACTGTACCACTATTCTAGCACTTATAAAATTACAATGATTTTTAAACTTGCTTTTCTTTTCCATTATATAATGTACTCCTAAGAGGTATAGAAAAAAATTTTCATAGCTCTTTATGTTCCTAGCATTTAGGTCAGTCACTGACATACAGAAGGTGATTAAAAATAAATGTTTTTTCAATGAATGAACTAATTTTATGATCACAGAATAAATACTCAAGAGTTAAGTTTTGTTAAGACTTTTGGTAATATTTCTTATACTATGATAAATGACATTTCTTAGCAACTTAAGAAAAATAGTCTGAAATTAGTGCTCGATAATTAGATTTCAGGGCTTGCTGGTTAGCTCAGTTGATTAGAGCAAGTTGCTGATAACACCAAGGACCAGGGTTTGATCCCTCTACCAGACAACCACAAAAAAAAAAAAAAAGATTTCATGAAAGGTATTAAACATTGCCTCCCTTTTTATCTTTTTAACCTACACTGCAAAGAACATACAGATAAATATTTAAATACAATCTGATGATGAATCAGCAGCATCTACAATTACATAAGCTTTAATTTCATTTCCCTGTTTTGTTATTCAGCTTCCTTTATTTTAAATTTGGCTGCTACATGTAGAAGGTTAAAGCATTAAAAAATATGTATTTTTTTTGAAAAGGTTCTTCTTCCCCTATGCTTATGCAGAAGCTTTGAGAAATTAATATCTTATCTGGAGCAAAAATATCCTGAATAAAATAAAGTTGTTTTAGAAATTATAAAGGCTGTGGCTTTAACAAATATATAAACAAATGGCAATAATTAAACCATGATGTTAAGTAGGCGATACTTTTCCAACAACCTGAACTGATTAGGGAAGCTACTTTCAGAAGTCCTGGGTCTTTACGTTTGTTTTAAGAATAGATCATTTACAATCATTTCATCTGGTGGAGACCAACCACTTTCTGTTCACTTTCTTTTGCTTGGCCACAGTTTTTAAGGAAAATACAAAGTTTCAGATACATCCTAGCCTGTAAGACTCATAAAAATCCCCAGATATTTTGAAAACCCAGGTGCTGAAGCATCTACATTTCTACTATAGACTTTCTTACTCCTAGACACTTAATGGGAGTGCTTGGTGTGAGGAGTGAAGGGTACTCAAGAAAATAAAAACTCTGCTTACTTTGTGTTTTGTCTGGGGACAAAAATGAAAATATCATAAATGAGACTGCCATTCTTTCTCAAAGGAAGAATAGACAGAATACAGGAGTTATTGTCTCCTTTCTTCTTGTATTGTTGGTACAATCTAGTATGGAGTGTTGTAATAAATATAGGTTCAGGCAAGCATGCAACTCCTGAATTTACTCTTAGAACAAACGAATGACAATTTTGGTGATTTGCTGTCTTTATTCCTGCCATGAGTATAAAAAAGGGGTCAGCAAACTTTTTCCACAGAGGGCCAAATAGTAAATAATTTAGGATTAGTGAGCCACTTAAGGTCTCTGTCACTCTCCCCCCCCCCACAAACATGTAAGAATCCTTTCTTAGTTCATGGGCTGTACAGAAACAGAATGGGCACTGGATTTTTACCCAGAGGCTGTAGCTTGCTGATCCCTGGTATAGATTCCTCTAAGACTGTTCAATGTCAATCATGCCTTTGAGAATAGAGTCAGAGTGGGGCAGCAAGAAAGAAAGGGTAAAGAATAGTTTAAAGACATCATTAGAATTCAAGCTCCATGAATGGCCACTTCATAGACTTCAAGATGTACTAACATTACTATAAAAAGAATTAGATGGTGCCATTCTCTATATTAATCCCACAGAAGATGACTTTAAAAAGTAAAGCACTTTTTTAAAGTTAGTTTTTATTATAAAGTACTTATAAAAATGATTCTTAAATCTAGCTTACAAAGTTAGCGTGTTAGATTATTTCAGTTTCAAGTCTCTTCCAATTAAGAGTAAATGGCTTAAAATTTTTTTTTAAAGTTTTTAAATAAAGTACTTGAGAAACTCTGGTGGTTAAAAGTACACATCATAAGTTGCATCCTACAAGGGTCATTTACATTACCCAGACACCATAAATCTCCAAGTCTCTACAGAAATCAGGATGAGCTTAAGTGAAATATGAATTTAATAGAGGAAGTTGCGGGCCGGCCCGGTGGCGCACTGCTACAGTGCACTGCTTGGGAGCGTGGTGGCGCTCCCGCCGAGGGTTCGGATCCCACATACAGACCGGTTCCTGCTCACTGGCTGAGCGAGGTGCGGATGCAACACCGAGGGTTGCGATCCCGTTGCCGGTCCCAGTCCGGTATGGGCGTGACACTGAGGGTTGCGGTCCGTTGCCGGACACGAAAAAAGACAAAAAGGAAAAAAAAAAATAGAGGAAGTTGCAACTATGTATAAAGAAAAATGAAGCTTCCCTCTTTTTGCCTTATCTTCAAATTTAGAAAAGAATTAAAACTTAAAACTAGGGGCCGGCCCGGTGGCGCACTGGATAGTGCGCCGCTTGGGAAGTGCGGCGGCGCTCCCGCCCGAGGGTTCGGATCCTACATACAGACCGGTTCCCGCTCACTGGCTGAGTGAGCGCGGGAGCAACGCCGAGGGTTGCGATCCCGTTGCCGGTACCCGGTCCGGTACGGGGGCAACACTGAGGGTTGCGATCCGTTGCCGGACACGGAAAAAAGACAAAAGACAAAAAAAAAAAAAAAAAAAAAAAAAAAAAAAAAAAAAACTTAAAACTAAGTCCAACCACATTCAACGTGGGTTCACAGATCCTGGTATCTCATATATCTTACACCAAGGAAAACCCTGAAAAGAGTTTAAATCACCTCAACAAATATGACATGGGACACTAAACTTATCATGAAAAAAACTCAAATTTACTTTCTAAATCAAGGGAAAAATCTTAACATGTAAGGTGATATGTTAATTTAACAAAGGCTAATAAAAACTAAATTGATTTGTTATTACATGTTCTTACATGATTTTAAACAATATAAAACATTATTTCACACAAAATAAAAATCAACGCTATTAAGGTAGGTTATGATCATAGGGACAGTGTTCTACAAGCTCATATAATGAACAAAGTCATATTCTCAAGCCAGTGACCAAATGTGTGTACTCTTATATTTTACTGATAATCAGAACCTTCAAAGAAAACCTATAAGAATCAGAGATAAACAAACCTAATCCACTCATTTTATTATTTCCATTTGTTTTGTATGCCGAATCTGCAAGAGAAGTAGCAAGAATATGATTAGAACTAAAAAGGAAATGCATCATATGGTTTTTTTACCACAGGTTCATCATCAAAACCTTAACAGGTCTTTATTGTTATAATACTTAAAAGGGTAGTCGACTGTCAATCAAATCAACATAATTCTTTCTTAAAGGGAACGACTGAGGAGCAATAGAAACCTAACGTAAAGATTTTTAAAAAGTTTCCATTTTAGTTCCCATGATAAAGCATCCTTAAGGGCCAATAAACAGAAAATGGAGTAGAAATAGATTGCTTGGGGTGATCTTACTAGTTTTATTTCACAGTCATGAAATCAACTTAAGGGCAAGACTTTTTAAGGTTTTAGTCAAAAAGAAATGTAATTGAGGCAGGGAAATTTTACAGCCCCATGCCACAAAGCCTCAGTCTTGAATTTTTTATTAGCACTATATACTGGGAAAATAAAAAGTCCCTGACCTTAGTTTAAAAACATCATGCTAACAAAAAGAACCATAGCAACATATAAGAATCAACTTCTACCCCACAAATATATATAATCAATAATAAAAAAAAAGAAACCATCTCTTAAAAAGAATGATGAAGCCCTTTATATTTTTAGTGGAAAGAACTCTCAATATATGTTAAATGAAAATACAAACAAGAAGGTGCAGAAAAGAGTATTGATTGGGCCAAAATTTATGTTAAAAAAGGAAAGAAAAAATAATTTATACATAAATTTCCTTAAATCTCCAAAAAATATGTCTGGAAAAATTAACTGACAACATTGGTTGCTTCTGATGAAGAGACTGGGTGTCTAAAGGACAGAGGGGACAGGCAGACTTTTCATTATATATCTATAGTAACTTTTAAGGTTTGAACCATATGAATACAGGTACTAGCCTATTTAAAAATAAAACTGTATTTATAAAAATGTTAAACCAACAGACAAAATCTCTTACCAGATCTTGAGCTTCTTAGAGGAGGCCTACATAGGCTGTTGATAAGATCTTCAGTCTCCACTAATATAAGAAAAGAAAAGATTTTAAAAATACAAAATGTGAAACAAACTAGATTATATAATCACCCCTTTATTCAACAAAGGATTATGGAACTTGTCATTATGCTGAGAATGAGAGACAAGTTTCCTGTCATATAAAATTTATGGTCTTGATGGAGAAATTTGCAATTTTTCTTAGCAGACTATATTTGTACAAAAGGAAAGAAATACTAAATAAAACTCTTCTAAATTGCTCAATAAAGAACCAAAATCTGGGCTGGCCAGTTAGCTCAGTTAGTCGGAGTGCAGTGTTATAACACCATGGCCAAGGGTTCAGATCTCCTTACCAGCCAGCCACCAAAAAAAAAAAAAAAAAAAAAAAAAACCAAAACCCGTACCATGGCACCAAATCAATTATATATTCCATTTGGAGCTTACCCTCTTTGTGGATTATTTATGGTGCATTTTAAGTTTAAGGTTAACTTCCTGAGACTAAATGCACTCCTTCCAACTATTTAACCTTGTATGTGTTTAGGAAATGCAAACTCTAATTTTAAAGAAAATGTTATTGTTAGCCAGGGTTCATTTCAGACTGTCTATGGCTTAATGGCATACGGTTAGTGGAAAAGCCAGTCCTATTAAATAAAACATTAATTTTAGTCTAGAAAACCACTTATAAAGGTATGTTTTCTCAAAGAGCCTCAAACAACATAATCTAAACCCAATATATATCTAAATTTGGGCTATATTATGTTTTGTTTCATTCATCTTTACAAAATAGCATTATGTTTTGGCTCTGTATGAGTTGCAAAAATGATACTCTGGAACTCTGAGAATCCCTCTAAATCTTTGGGCTCTAAGATTCTATGAAATATCTATCTTGTTGTTAGCGTTTCACATATCAAGTATTTAGAACTTACATATGTAGGGTACTTGGAGACAGTATCAGAGAGTAAAATAGTCAATACCCTTCTTTGTTAGAAGTCTCCCTCACTTGTTGGCTTTTGCTCACCACTGCACCCCCAGCATCAAGCATGAGGACTGGCACAAAGTAGGTGCTCAATAAATATCTGGAGAATAAATGAATGCTGTAACTACAGCAGCTAAAGAATCAAATGTTCATGACAAAATAACAAGCATTCAAAAATATCTATGAAATTTTACTGAGAAACAACAACTAGTAGAACAAAAATACCTATTTAACTTTAGGAAAAGTAAATGGAATTTGTTCTAATATATTTTTATATTATAAAATTAGTTTCATGATTTCTAGAAAGGAATAAATCTGGCCATTAGGAATAACAGTTATGCAGGTATATATGAACTGAATTGGTTAAACAACCTATTGGCTAATTTAATGAGAAAACAATCCGTTCTGGAATTTCAAACAATGAGAAGATTTTGAACTATATCCCTGTTCTAAACTAATATAATCAACATTTTTCAAATCTTCCAAAAACAAGATGGCCAATGGTGTAGATGTTTTTACTAGGTTGTTTTAGAAGGTGCACTCACCTTGTACCCTCTAAAAGGTCTTGATTATTAAGGGCATCTTTGCATAAATTTCTCTCAGACCACACCAGTGGCCCTACATACAATTACAGCACCATTTTGAATACCAAAGTTAAACTGAAAGTCTACAATTCAATTAGGAGGAAGGGCCTATACTTAAACGTGTACTTAAAGCAGTCCTCCATCAAAGAGTGACTCCTGTTTAAACAATTCTTCTTAGATAGACTTTATAAACATTTATTTAATAATTCCCTAAATTCTTCCTCCTTTCATTAAGAGGCATGAGACTGAAATATGCCAAATTCTTGATACAGTATGATTTTTTTTTTTTCGTCAGCCGGCTGGTAAGGGGATCCCAAACCTGGACCACTCTCTCGCCAACTGAGCTAACCAGCCAGCCCTACAGTATGATTTTTAAAAGCACCTTTTAGAGGAAGAGAACCCTGAGTATCTCAAATCTCCCAAAGATGGACATACCTTATTTCTAATTATATTGAATGCAGAGTGTGCTACTGATATATTTCAGATAATCTACATATGGGTTCTGTAGTGGATTGAGTTATGTTCCCCCAAAACTCACTGAAGCTTGAATTGTGTTCCCAAGTTTTATGTGTTCGAAACTTGGCCCCTACTCTGACTGTTAAGAGGCTGGGAAATCCTATTATGGTAAATGAAAGGTGGAGCCTTGAAGAGGTGATTGGATTGTAAGACCATGCAGTAGTGAATGGATTAATAATGGTGGCCAGGGACATGGTTCCAAGGGCTTTAAAAGAAGAGGAGAGTTTGTCTTTCTAACTCTTCTCTCTGCTTCCACCATCTTGCAATATGAGATACCTGGGTCACTGTCACTGCCACCAGATGGACTTTGGACTTCCCAGCCTCAGAAACTGTAAGCAAGAAATTTCAATTTCTTTATAAATCACCGAATTCCATGTACTTTGTTATAAGCAACATAAATGGACTAATACAGGTTCCCTTCAAAATCTATTGTCTATATAGGGAAATGTTTGGTTTTTTCAATTTCCAATTATGGTATAAGCTTCTTGAGAAAAAGGACACGATTACCAAAAATTTTACGAACTTTATATCTCCTGTAAAGTGCCATGAGAAAAACAAACAAACCCTTATTACCTGCATGTTTTACTGTGTTCAAAGTGATTTCGCATGTACTGTCTCATTTCTCCAGTGGCCCTGTGAGTTACGCAGAGCAAATAATATAGATAAAGGCCTGAGGCTCAAGGTGGGTGGGTAACTTGACCAAGATACAGTAGTGTTTCCACAACATTATGTAGCCATGTACCTCATTTGCAATCTTTAAATACAGGTCTAATATAAATTCCAAAAAGGCTGTTCATGACATTCTATTATATAATAATAGCCTATACGGTGGTGCCCAACAGTCTTCATTATACCAATTTACTTAATTTATAATTCTTATAAATTTATTCTAGATTCGAAAATTGACATATTTTTGCTTTTTCCTGGTATAAGGAACATACAATTAAATCTACTGTAAATAAATTCAACATTATAGTTTTTACAAACGGCCTGGAAAATCTGATGATAGCACTTATTACTCAAAGCATTTTTCTAAGTAGTTTATAATCCTAATACAGTAACACAGACTGTTCAAGGAATTAAGCATAAAGATTTTGTTTATTTGAAACTGAACTTGAACCGGATATACTTTATTCTAAATTGAGAATAGAATAATTCAAATTATAAAGCATAATCTTTTAAAAGCAATAAAGAAGTCAGGATCTGGGTAATAAAAACCAGGGATGATCAGTTTCAACAGCTATAATCTTTTATTATGGTGGGACTTTCCTAATATCAAAAAAAGCAAATTGAAAATAAATGGAATTAAAACCTAAAGCATTAATAATTGAACTTAATCCTTTCCCCAACTTTTCAAAATATTTCAAAGTTTTTAAAACTTAAACAGAGTATTAAATGTAGCCTACTTCCATGTTACATTCTAAGATAATTTTTTTATACTTTAACCTCTCTGAAATTGAGATGCATCATATAATCTATAGCATATTACCATAAATTACAAAATAATTGGCAGCATTTTCTTCCTTCTAGGTAGTACATAAAACAATGATGGTGTATCTTACAAATGACTGGCATCTTAGATTTGATAAAACATAGTATTAAACTGACAAGATTGATCATATTATGTCAAGATTTTACTACACAGTAAAATTGATCCATTTTAAATAGAGGACAGTGTGACATATTCATTCATTTGACACTTCAATTTTATTAAGTGGTTAATTATTGCATAAGAGAGTGATACTGGGCTACCTGGGTGAAAATGAAAAGAGAAGATAAGATCTGGGTTTGAATTTTAGCTCAGTCACATTATCATGTGGTCTTAGAGAGTCTTAGCTATTCTGAGCTCTGATTTTTCTCATCTCTAAAATGGGTGTAATATCTATCCTGCAAGGTTGTATGGATTAATATACACAAAGTGGCTGGTACTTTGAGTAGGCACTCAAGTGTCCACCATCTTGCAAAATTCAATGAACATCTGATAAAAGAAAACTCATGAAACTCTTAATGTGATACGATTTGAGAACTTGATGAACCAGGCCAAAATCTGTACATAAAGAATGTTGGCAGGTAAAGAGAAAAACAAAAAATTAACTATTCTTACCTGGAGACTCTTGTGTTCTCCTGACAGTTTTTGAAACTGTTTGGTTTAAAACAGTTTGGGAAGATGGTTCATCCTCTAAAGAACAAACATGAAAAGAGTTAAAAGTCAGAATATATGACCTGGGGGATTATGGTACAGATTATAAATATCAACAGCAATATATAAGCAAAAATGCAAATAATTTTTTTAGAAACATTAAGTATACCAAGACTTAGGAATTAAACTAGTCATTGCTACTTTTAAGACAAAATATAACTAATTCATCAGAATATAAAAATAAACCATTCACCATTGTTGCTTTACAACAAAACTACATTACTTTAGAAAACTAAAAAGATGGGTTAGAGTATCAAAATAATGTGGAAAAAAGTAGTTAAAAGAATGAAAATGTTCTGGTCCTTAAATATTTACTAAAATAGAGGTAAATTTCTTACTTGTTTAAAAAAAATGTGGCCTATATATAACTGTACTAGGTTCTGAGAGTTAATACAAAGTAACACTTATTTATTACACACCATGTGCAAAGCATTCTCCCTAACCCAAATACTTAAGTTACTATCAAAAACATATAATAGGATCCTTGTCCTAAGAAGTTTATAATATTAAAAGATAAAACTAACATGTATAAGGGCTAAACTTTCTTGAATTGCTACACCCAAACTTACATAAGTTTAATATAAAGTTTCCAAGATCAACAAGTCTTCAAATGTGTCGGCACATTAAGCCTCAGCAGGTAAACTTGCAGCCTATTACTGTGCTCTAGACTGAAAATCCACTCTTCATTTCCATCAATGGTCTATCACTAACTACATCATCTCATGGTGACTTACATCCCTTTACTTTTACCTCAAAGGTGCCTTACATGGGGCTAACATGAAACCTTAGCTGTGACTCAGTGTTAGATCCGAGAGCGGGGGTCAGGGTAGAAAAAGATGGGTTAAGGAAATTGATTCACCTGTGACTTAAATCTGAAGCTACATACTCAGCATCCTTTTGGTTGGTCCATTTATATGAAAACTTTGTTTTTTAGGTTATAGCTGTAATGTTTATTTTTCCATTTTTTAATTGAAACTTAATTGACTATACATATTTGTGTCCATCGATGGATGACGGGACAAGAAAAATTTGGTATATATACACTACGGAATACTACTCAGAAAAAATAATGTTAAGTGAAATAAGCCAGGTACAGAAAGAGAAATACCGCATGTCCTCACTAATAAGTGGGAGCTAAAAAAAAAAAAAGAAAAAGAAAAAAAGAAAAAAAAGAAAACTTTTAAACTAATAGAGTATCGTTTTGTCAGGTTCCTTGAGGGTACTGTGAGGGCCACCAACGAGGCGCATTTCTAGCGCAGACCTGAGGAACCTGAGGAAGAGCGATCAGTTTAAGTTCATCAGACACCGGGGAGCTTCAGTTCAGAATAACTGAGTTACTCCACTTCGGGGTATTGGGTTGGGTCTCAAATCAATTCACGAACTCCACTATCCCTCGAAACGCCCATTCACAAAATTTCCCCTCCTCCTCTCCCCACCTGGGTGGGGTCAGAAAAAGATTGGAAGGTTACATTAGAACCGTGATCCTCAGCTGGGGGCTTCTTGCCTCTAGGCGTTAAAGAAGGAAATGGAAGTGGCTTCGGCAGAAACATCCGCAAGACAGAGGGAACTGAAATGAAACCGAGCCTGGGGCCCCTCGCCATCCCCTCGTGAAGGCCTGCAGAAAGAGGCTGCCCTGACTCCCCTAAACTGATGCCCAGGGATGGGCAGAGCGTCCGGTCCGCTCCGCACGACCATCTCTCTTCTCCTCCCTTCGGCGCCTCCTTCCCGCCCGCGGGTCGAGTAGACCCCGCGCGGGGGCGCACGTCCAGCAGGGGCCGAGGAGCCACCGGTACCCCGGGGGACGTGAGCTCCACGGAGGTGCACGCCTGTCCGAGGAGCGCACCCACTCGAGCGCCCGCCGGCTGCGCGCGCTGCCCGGCTTGCGGCTGAGACTGTTACCTCCACCGTCCTCACCTTCGGAGGAGTGAGAATCTCGTAACCCTCTCCTGGTCGTAACCGGAGACGGCTGTAGCTGAGGCTGCTGTGACTGCTGCTGCTGTAGGCGGGTAGTCCTGCGCGTCTTCATCTCCTCGGCTTCCTGAAGTCTCGGCTGCCTTCGCTGCCTAGACCGAAGGTAGTAGGCGTTTTCTTTCACTTCCTCTTTCGCAAAATCGGGCCGGAACTCTTCTGGCGGGGCTCGTTTTCCCACCGGGGACCTTTCTTTGATCACCCGGGGCTCGAAGTCGCCGTACACTTTTGGCGGCTCCTCTGAGAACCTCACTTCCCGCCGGCCCTGGCGCGACGGAGGAGTTCCGTACGCAGGCGCGTCACTCCCGCCGCCATTTTGGGGGGCCAGCCGGCGCCTTCCCTCTCGAAGGGGGGCCCTGGGCGTGACGTACACCCCCCATCCTTCCCACACCGGCTCCGCCCGCCGCTCCTCGCCCGCCATAGTTGTTGACGTAGCTTGAGTCGATCGCTAAGGTGGTTTTGCTGCCCGTAGATTGTCTTGCCGGTGGTGGCGATGGCTTCTCGGGGGTGATGGGCGGTGGTCGCGGTAGTCAGGGAGGCAGTTGAGAGTCGCCGGGGCCGCCGCCCGCGTCGTCGCTGCTGTGCAGCAGACCTGCCTCTGGGCCCATGGTGTGTTCTGAGGGCTGTGAAAGAGGCAGTGCCTGGGCTGGGTCAGCTGCTGTGGGTCACTCCCGCCTCCTGGCTGGAGGCACCAAAGAGGAGGAGAAGGGGGAGGAGGACGTCTCTGTCCTAGGCCTTGAGGGAGGGTGAGTGGGGGCGACGGAAGGGTGGCAGGGCAAATTGCTTGTCCCAAGTCCAGCCGCTGGTCCCCTAGAGTACCAAGTCTCCGGGAAAGGGCGAGTGAGACGGAGGTGGAGAAGAACGAGTTTCAGCCCTCGCCCCAGGCTGTTGCGCAGTTTTCCTGGAACGTTTTTGGTCGGCTACTTTGGCCATGCCTTCCCAAGCATCCCTAGAAGGAGTGATGGTCAGAGAGATACTTTTGCATGTGTCATCTTTATATGGCGAATATTTTAGTTTCGATATCGTTATGAAGACGGTTTACCAAGTTTAAAATTTTAAATCACCTGTTGAGGGTGTACGAAATCGTATCTACAGTCATACTCACTGGGTGGATTGCCACTTGCGAAATGTACCCATAGCAAACATAACCTTATTCCTGGTCTTTCATGTAAAAATTCTATTCCAGCAGCACTGCAGTTCTGTTCGGAAGACCTTATCAGTGCTGCGTTATCACCATGAGAAATGAACAAATACTTTGTTTAAAGGCAGCATTGTAATTTTCAGTTGTGATCCATTATTTTTGCTTTCATCTGGGCATGACAGCATACTGCATTTGATTTAGGGTTCTTGCGTTTAGTTTACGGAATAAGAAAGCATGATAAAACCTATTTGTTTCACCTTTGTATACCATATTTATAGATATGGATAATATGCAAATATTTAACCAAATGTAGACAAACCGAGGGAAGGTTGAATAAGTTACTGTAAAGTCTGAATAATTATTGAAAGAAAGCTAATGTTACCTTCAATTATACAACTTATCTTCTTGGAGGATTTTCTATGATTGGTTTCAGTGAACATATTTTAAAAATAGTAATTTAGTTACCAATTAACAATTAATGATTCTGGAAATTTAAAGGTGCTTATTCTTTAAGTATTTTAAGAAATACTTTAGAATGTTTTGGGGGAACTCATTTGTTGCTCAAACTTGGCATAAGTTTCAATTGCTTAGGTCTTAAGGTGTACTATGTCTTCACTAATAGTCCGTAAATTTGGCTACAGACACAAGGAATTACATTTTTTAGAGAGTCAACATAGGTTTAAGCATGTTAGGAGTGTAGTTTAGTTTAGCTTTATTATATACAGTATAGCCAAAGACACTGGAGGAGCAGTAGCAAGAGAGTGCTACTTTTTTTTTTCCCCCAGTCCTATTAGGGAAAATGAAGAGGATACTTTCTCTTCTTAGCCTGAGTTAGATGGTATATTTAGAAGCTTAGGAGACCATTTCCAACGAAGTGCTGAATAGTATTGATACTGGGTAATACTTAGCTTTTATTTACTTATGTTTTAAGTAATGCAGTCTCTGTAAGGTAGCAATTACATTACTCATTAACACATAATAGTAAAAGTTCTTTAATAGATATAATTATTAAAGGATATAAATTTCATAGTATTAATATTCTAAGTTCATATTATAAACATTAATGTATATGTTAAGAGCCTCCTTAAAACACTTACCCGGACAGCTGACTATATAAAAACTTGGATACAGACTTGTAAAACTTAGGTTTAGGGAACATATTAAAAAAGACAAGAGGTTCTACATATTATTAAATAATTAGTACATGTGTTATTTTATAATTAAAACTGTAAAGGCTTAGGAATGGCTTTTCAAAGAAATGAATAGAGAATGTAAAAGTAAAATCAGAGGCATGGTAACTTTAATGTTAACACATATTTGCTTAGGATTTTCCCTTCTTTGTCTAGGTTATAAGAATACATAACTCTAGCTTGTACCATAACTGCCTCCCACACCTAGAAAATTTACAAATGCCAAACTTTCATCACTAACTGAGGTAAAGCTAAACTCTTGTCAAACCAGATATTCTGCTGTAGATATTTTTCAAACTGCAAGGTTGTCACAAAAGAGGTGACATAACAGAGACATTAGACTCATAGCCAATATTATAAGGGATTTGCTGGGCCACCAATATCAAGAGGAGGCCTGAACCCTGGATATTAAATAGTTACTTTGGGAATCTGCGAAATTTAGAGGAATTCAGTGAGTCAAGACAGGTAAGAAATGATTATAACAAAGAATAGACTCATTAATTCATAGATTTATTACACATCTATTCTGTGCCAACAAAGATGATGACCACATTTGTTCTGTATTAGGGGAGAGAGATACACAAAAAGTTGTAATTCAGATTATATGACTGGCATTAATTCACATGCTTGGCTTTTAGGGCTAGGTTTAGAAATCCTGTGCCCTTGACACCAGATCTCTAAATCAGCCATTTTAGATGAAACTCATTTTATTTTAAAATAATAAATTTGTGCAAGAGTCTTTTTGTTTAGGGTAAGCAGAAATTCAGCTATTTAAAGAGAGCATCTATCAATTCATTATGTATAATATTCATGTTTCTAGTTGGATAGGGAAATAAGTAACTTTGGGGTTGTGGCGTGGTAGAAAGGGGCAACATTGTTGATTTCAATAAGGAAGAGATGTTTAAGATATTAAATAAGAGGAAGTCAATTAAAGACAGTAGCTGGCTCCATTTATCCCCCATTCTCACAAGTGATAGAAAAATATTTTAAAGACTTAATACAAGTGAAAATGTGTAGCTGAAAATGTTATACTGAAAGTAAAAAAATGAAGTGAATAGAATATAATATTCTTCCCTTCATTTTTGGTTGAATTAGAAATTGCAGTCAATTCAGCAGCAACTGAGTGTTCCCAAATCCTGTGACATCTGCCAAAAGAGAAAAATTGAAAGGTAAAGGCACCGAAAATCATGTTATCCAGGAATCATTAATTTAGTAAATAGTTGAGCTTCTGCTATGTAGTAGGCCATCCCTGTTTTAGGTGCCAGGGATACACTTCTCACTGTGTGATGGAGACACAAAGATTACTCAGAGCCCAAATATTAAGAGCAACGAGAAGCCCAAAGGGCCTGCACTGAGACAACTCACTCAAGAAGGGAGAAACAAGGCACAGCCTCGAGTTGGTATTTGCTTCAGCTTTTTATTGTAAAGACAAGGAAATACAAGAGAAAAAACAACTTATCATTTATCAAAGGAAGGAAAAGAAATTGGCTATGGGGCAGTCTCTGGAAAACATGTTGAGAAACAAAGGAAAGGGAGTATAAAGCTGGATAAGAAATGACCTTAATGTTCTCATCTAATCTAGCAGAAACTATTTGCTGTTTTCAGCACTTAGGTTCTGCATAAGGGCATTTAGGACTTTTGCCCTTTGTGTACTTCCTGTTCTTTGTCAAGCCTATGTGCTCCTATAAGCAGTGAGCAAAATAAAGTAAAAATCAGAAAACCCTTCCTGAATGCAAATGAAAACCACAATGAGATATCTCACTCCAGTTAGAATGGCTATTTTTAATAAGACAGAAAATAACAATTGCTGGCAAGGGTGCAGAGAAAAAGGAACTCTCCTACATTGTTGGTGGAAATGTAAATTGGTCCAGCCATTGTGTAAAATACTATGGAGATTCCTCAGAGAACTAAAAGTAGATCTACCTTACACCCACCTATCCCACTGTTAGGTATATATCCAAAGGAAATGAAATCAATATATTGAAGAGACACCTGCACTCACATGTTCATTGCAGTACTATTCACATTAGCCAAGTGATGGGTTCAGCCTAAATGCCCATCAATAGATGAATGGGTTAAAAAATTGAAATACTATTTACACAGTGGAATACTATTACGGTATTTTTTAAAACCTATCATTTGCAGGAACATGAATGGAACTGCAAACTATCATGTTAAGCAGTCAAAGACAAATACTGCATGATCTCACTCATGTGTAATCTTATAAAAAAAAGAAAAGAAAAAAGAAAAAAAGGAGTGGTTTTCATAGAAGTAGAGAGTAGAATAATGGTTACCAGAGCCTGGGAGGGAAGAGGGAACAGAGGCGAGGGAGGTGGTGGATTAACGGTACAAAGCTAGGCTATCTAAGTAGCATTGTACATTGGTACAGCACAAATATATACAAGTAAGTGTTAAAAAAAAAAAGCACAAAAAACACCTGCTTCTTGGAGTTTGTATTCTGTGGGAGGAGACAGACAAAAATCAAAATAAGTAAAATAATGTGTTGATCAGAAGTGTTATGGGAAAAAAATGAGGAGAGGGAAAGGGAGATTTACATGAGTAGATGTCTTCTCTGTTGTCTTGAACTGGTGTAGCTCAGAAACAGGAATTTAGACCTACTTGACTTTGCACCTAACTGGTTATATTTCTTGGGTAAATTGCTTGCCATCTCTCAGTTTTCACATTTATACAATTAATAGGTCAAACAAATAGCTGATTTTCATCATTTACTACTATCATTTAACAGACACACTACATACATCATCTCATTTACTCATAACAACTTTATGAGGTATGTAGCATTGTCCCCACTTGACACATGAGCAACCTGAGGTTTAGATTAAGCAACTCTTTTGAGGACACGCTCTTAGTAATGGCAGAGGCCGGGTTTCAAGTCATGTTTAACAGGTACTTGCCAGTATCAGTACTGCCTCTCACTGTGTTGGTCTCATGGGTTCTTCGAGTCTATGAATTTCAGGTCATTATAAGGGTCAGGGTGGTCAGACGTCTTGCAGAGGTGCCTGCAATCCCCTCAGATGTCAGCATGAGAACTCGAGGACATCTGTTCGGTTGCGTGCACTCACCACGCTCCTCCCCTTGCTGGCTGCTCCATTTATCCCCCATTCTCACAAGTGATAGAAAAATATTTTAAAGACTTAATACAAGTGAAAATGTGTAGCTGAAAATGTTATACTGAAAGTAAAAAAATGAAGTGAATAGAATATAATATTCTTCCCTTCATTTTTGGTTGAATTAGAAATTGCAGTCAATTCAGCAGCAACTGAGTGTTCCCAAATCCTGTGACATCTGCCAAAAGAGAAAAATTGAAAGGTAAAGGCACCGAAAATCATGTTATCCAGGAATCATTAATTTAGTAAATAGTTGAGCTTCTGCTATGTAGTAGGCCATCCCTGTT